ATTGAAACCATGATTGGGACACCTCAGGAAGAGACTGGTGTATCTCTCCCATGCGTCCCAGATGGTCTCATCTTCGTCCTGGGAAAAGTGGGTGATCTGCTTCTACAAGTCCGCCATTTTTGACGGAGGATGATAGCGGGTGAGGAACTTGTCCGCCAGGTTGGCGAACGTGGTGATCGATCCGGGAGGCCTAGTGTCCAGCCACTCCTTGGCTTGCCCCTCCAGAGTAAATGGGAAATAGCTCAGCTGGATGGCATCGGATGGGAACTTATTTATCTTGATCCCATCTATGAGCTCGTGGAACCGCCTCAAATGTGATCGGGGGCACTCACCCTCCTTGCCACGGAATACCACTGAGCCGCGTAGCATCGTGATGACAGAGGTACTCACCTCAAAGTTGTTGGCAGCAACTTGAGGGTGTTGGATGGGAGACAACACCAAATTATTTTTTCAAGAATCAAACCATTGTTCCACGGCAACGGCGCCAAAAACTTGAATCGTCCCGAATATCACAATTAATTCCCGCCTAAGGTCCAAGTATAAACCTTAGTCGGGTGCAATAGAGGGCAAGTATGTTTAAATATCGACTCGGGCCGGTCCGTGTACCCCTACTTCAGTCATTTGAATCATTATTATCTAGCAAATCAGTTTTGGTTGAAAAGTTGGTTAGTTAAAGTAAAGCAACGCAAAAGTAAATGGTTTTGAAAGCTCTTTGTGAGAAGGATCACTCGGGTGTCGTTTCCCCCTTAACTACTACCATGGTATATGAATCGAAGTGATTGTTATGGGCAAGGCGACCGCGAACCGCTAGGGGACGCAAATATGATCGTAGACCACACTCTCGATTGCCAAACCGAGGAATACATTATAGGCTCTTCAGGAGGCCCTCTCGGTTAAGGCCATTAATGGTTGACTTACTCCCTCTCTCATCCCAATGGTTGGTCGACTTAATCAAGCTTAACCAAATTGATTAATTCAACATGGAGGCTTGCCCTACATTAACCTAGTTAGGTGTAATCCCAACTCAATTGAGCCTCCCCTGAAAGGGGGTCTTCCCTCTCTAATCTAGGTTAAAACGGCTAATTAGATTTCTAAATACAAGCATGCACAATCAACATGAAAAATACCTCAATCATTAAATTAAACAACACCCATAAACAATCATTCAATTTACATAACAAAAACTACATGGTAGATAGTTAGGGTTTCACAACACCCAAGTGAACAAGGAAACTACTCCATACTAGAAAGGGGAAAAACACAAGAGGAAGAGGTAGAAATCATCATGGAGATGCTTCCAATCTTCCTTGAGCTTGTCCTGAACTTCTCTTGGGGAGAATCTTCCCAATTCACCACTTGGAGCAAACCCTAGCCTTCTTCCTTCCTTGGATTGTTCTTTATCTCTGTAAAATATGAAGAAGGAACTTTCTCACTCTTGGGCTCTCCCTTCTCTCTTCCTTTCAGATCTCCTCTTAAACAGGGATCAACCTCAGTTCATGGCCGTGAACTCTTGAACTCGTTCGTGAACTCAAGGTTGGCGTCGAAACGCACCGCTTCGCTTGCACGGGTTCACGGGCAACAACTCCAATTCACCGTCTTAGTGACCGTGAACTAACCCCACGCCAGTAACTTAGGATTTGGCCCTGGACGTATGGGTGTTCATGGGCAAAAGCTCCTCTTCACGAACTTAGCAGACCCTGAACATCCAAGAGAAACCGTGAACTGCCGATTATTCACCTCTTCTCACGGTTTTTGCTCCTTTTCGGCCAACTTTCGACTCCGGGGCTGGTTTCACCTGTTAAATCCCGAAACAAGCTAAAACACAAGAAACCTCACGTAAAACCACCCTTTAAAGTCATAACTTTTGAAATAAACAAAATAACCACTTTCGTCCATCTCTTTAACGGTGTCCCACAATAGTATGACTGGAGAAGGAGACTTTATTTTCCGAATTGCCAATTCAGATTCCCAATCTCTAGATTGAAGAAGAAGACCTCAAACGCTTGGCATGATCACATAAAAAGACGAAAACAAGGTCAAGAAGGCTGATGGGAAGAAGCTGGCGATGACCGCGAATAAGAAGGCATCAATGGCGACGATGAAAGTGGAGACAGTGCCTCCGATGGCGACTGAGAACGATAGGTGGGGAAGGAAGGATGTGGTGGATCATAGTGGATTTTCCCCTCCAATTCCTCGTAATTGTTGCGGTTAAGGTTGTTCTTGTTTCTGATGAACCTTGATTCGTCGCTGTCAAGTGACACCATTAAAATGAATGGTCGAAAGTGGTTTTTTGTGTAGTCTGAAAGTTGTGGCTATAACTATCATAAACGTGAAAGTTGTGTCTATGAAAGTGTACCTTTGGTGTATTTTGAAAGTTTGTAATGAAAATGAATAGATTTATCAAAAAAGCCATCAAAATTCTGGCTATTTCTTGTATTTCAAAAATTGTGGCTATAATTGTCACAAACGTGATAGTTGTGGCGATAGAAGTGTAAAATTATAATGTGGCATCTACGTGGCAAATGAGGTTGAGTTGTCGCTGACATGTGCGTCAATTTGGCATCCTAGTCAGCATGTCATTAACCTAACTAACAGAATCTCTAACAAAGTTAAGTTTTGTAACAGAAATGGCTAGATTTGTCAAACAACTATCAATATTCTGGCCATTTCGTGTAGTTCGAAAGTTGTGGCTATATATGTCACAAACGTGAAAGTTGTGGCTATAAAAGTGTATTTTGCCTAAATTATATTTACGCACTTCAGAATTCTCTTTATATGTTAATAACCATCATATCTATTTTTTCTCAATATTTTCCCCTCTCGTCACTCATATCCAGAGCCAGTGGTTGTAACTAGACTTTCGTAACTACTCATGTAAGAGAGATAATAATCACATAGAAGATTGTTCCAAACGCAAGAAAGAAAAATATATATAATTTTTTGGGCTAATACCACTAGGAAATCCGAACTATGAATAAAGTGTCATTTGTGTCCCAAACTATTCAATATTCCATTTATGTCCCAACGTATGATAGTTTTTTGTCATCTATGTCCTGACAATTTCATTAACCGTTATTGATAACAGTTCTCTAGACGGTGGTCACCTTGATGTTGACTTAGGAGCAGAATTGACGGAGCGATTAAGATGATTTAGAAAAATAGTTTAGGACATAAATGTCATATTGAATAGTTCAGGACACAAATGACACTTTCTTGATAATTCGGGTTTACCAGTGGTATTATCCCTAATTTTTTGTATTTGTCTCCCGAAATAAGAAGGCGAGGCATTGAAGGACAGTATAATGGTGAATTTGTAAAGGCTCCAATCATCTTAGAAGTTATTCTAGCTGAACCCATTGCTTATTCTTCACGATGAATTTCCAAACACAACTACATACCACTATAATTTGGTTCTGGAGTTTCAATCTTTAAGAGTGCCATCACGATTCATGATCTATTTGATTTTCCATATTTACCAGTTGAGGTGTCACCGGGAATTTCCAAGATGGTCACTTTCTCCTTGGAATTCAATCCCATGATCAACATTCCCTCCCCCTTTCCAAAATCCAATCTATTTCAACAACCAATCATTACTATATTACGACCCATATATAACCCTGCCCTCGACACGCACATAAAATAGCTTGAATGAAGCTGATGCAGTTCAAACCTATAGATGGTTTCCAATAAAACAAAAATTCAAATATAGCATGCATAGATCATGCATATGAGTTTTCAATTGTTCTAGCCTTAGCATTACCGGAAAAGAAAAAAAACACACAAAAGTAAAGTTTGAAGTCATGCAGAAGCATTTTCTGCCATTCAGTCACTTACTATATCGATGGTGAAACTGTTATGAAACTTAAAGAAGTCATATTCATGCCTCTCATGGGCTTAATGAAGGGTTTGACAAATAAGACAAGAGAAATTAAAACTGCAACAACTTCTTCGTCTTTCCTACTTTTCAGTCTCCATCCTTCTGCTCCTCAAGCTACACATCTGGCATTTGTAATGACTTACACATTTTCCTGCTAAAGAAGAAGGCTTATCTCCTCCTTTAGTACATATCCTTCTTCTTCTTTTTCTCCTGCAACCCTACAGAAACGCCTAAAGGAGGGAAATCCTCCTTCTTCAGAAGCGACTCTGCTTCTCTTGCAACCTTACATGGCTTCAGTGTGCAATTGCTTACTAAAGGAGGGAAGTCCTCGTTCTTAAGTTGATACTCTTCTTCTCTTATAACCCTACAGGGCTCAACCCCAGAGACACAAACTAAAGGAGGGAAATCCTGGTCTTCTTCTTCTCTTGAAACATTACAGGGTACAACAACAGAATTGCCAACTAGATGAGGGAAATCCAGCTTCTTTAGTGGGCACTCTTCTTCCCTTGAAACACTATTGGGCTTAATCACATAACTGGGTAGGGGAGGGAAGTCATCTTTCTTCAATTGATACTCTTGTTCTTCTTCTCTTACTACCCTAGAGAGCTCAACCACATGCAGGAGGAGAAAAGATGAGAATTTAGGATTGCACTACATAAATACAAAAGGGAATACATCCAAAAAAAAATTACATACCTTACTTCCTCCAGCTTCTCATGTTCTGTCATTTGAATTCTAGAAAATGCCATCCTGACTGTGAAAAGAGAGTCATCAACTTCGTCCCAGTAAACTGATGAAGCTGCTAGGTCAGATGCTAGGAACGATGGTGATGATGATTCACTTGAAGTCTTGAAATTTGTAGGCCTAGAGGAGGAACCAGATCTGGGCTGGTGCAACAAGCCATTATTAAAAACATGATGCACCTGGTTATCACTGAATAAAATGGATGATCCATTGATGGAGGAAAGCATAGGAAAATTCGCTTGTTGGAGGTCAACCCAACTGTTGCAGTTCTGTCTATTCGCATGTTCAACATGTTCAGCTTGATCAAGGACCTGGTAACTCATCTCGAAAGATTGACATGGTGGTCCCTTATTAAAATAATCTTGATCCTCCAGGGTCTTCATCCTGGACCATATTTCTTTATAACGATCCTGCAACAACCGAGTTTAAATGTTTGACTAAAATAGATAAGGTGGGTATTTTGTGCTACTGTATTGTAAAAAGTGAGAGTATCTAGACTTACCATATCAGGGATGTATGTTCCTGTACCTCTTAAATTTCCTAACCCATCAATGTCAGTAGTACAACGTTTTGAAGGGCAAGGACATAGCCCTGGCAGCCCTCGTTGCAAGAATGCCTTTGTGCCTTTCTGAGGATGACCATTTTGCCCAGTCCAAGAAAATATGTTACTCTTCTTTGAAGGGATGTTATGGAAATGATCAGGTAGTCTATAACTGTGATACCACTGGCCCTGCAGCAAACCACTATGGCATCTGTCATAGTCTCCACTGAGATCACATGCGTCACTTCTTCCAGTACCAAATGCAGGCACGGGTCTGTTAGCATCAGCTCTTTGTCCTGTCCCATTCCTGCCTAGAGTGTTGGTAAAAAATTTCTCCAACCCCTTGCCTATATATTCTCCTGGTCCGTTGAGGACTCCTCGAAGCATCTGAGCCCCATAGGAAAGGGCACATTTTATCCGGTGGAAATTGCCTAGCAAAGGAAGAATGCAATATAAATAAGCTTAACATGCATCTGAAGAGAAATTTACATAAGAATTTCAAACGAGTTCGAAATAATAACCCGATATTCTTGTATGACATTCAGACATGTAAATGAATGCAACAGTGTAATGTATTGCAAAAAAGTCAGAACAAAAACTTTACAAAACTAGTGATGTATGGCAGAAAACATGATTTTTCTTTCCATAACTATGGGTATTCACAACCTATGAGGGTTAAATATTATTTCATGGCTAGAAACAAAGTAGGATGTCATCGGGTAATATATAGATTTGTGCCATCATGGCAACTCAACAAAAAATTGAAAAATTCATTATTTCTTGGGAGACGCTAATAGATGCCTCAATATAAAGGTACATGTTATATGATTATTGAATAAATCGCATACCTCGACTAACACTTCGCCCCAAATTGTTGCTATAACTTAACGGGTCCATGATGTTGATGTGCTTAACAACAAATTCATGCCTCCCACTGTCAAGTTCATTAACAGGAACAGCAAATGTCTCCTTGCAATAGTTGTAAAAGTCAGGCTCAAGCAACAATCGACTTCCATTCTCAACAGGTAGCTCCACTGCGACGGAACAAAGACACATCACTAGCGAATATGCAAAAGTGTATAAGTGATGAGTACACTTCTTCCAATAATTTCAACACTTACCCACTATATCTGGAAGAGAAGATATTTTAATTACGCCATTTATGCAGACACCATGATTGTCCCAGTCAAAAGAACTATAGTAGTCCAAAAATTTGTACAGCACCTGGGAACAATTACCAAGGTTGAATCACTAACAGAACAGTAAATTGACATAGAGTTAGGAAATTTGGAATGTCACTCACTGCTAAAGGACCATTTAGGGATGAATGGAATATGTTAAATATATGCAGGACCAACATTTCCAAAGCATATGTCGAGATCAATCCATGGTATGCACCAAGGATTCTGCTTTCGTAAAAGCACCAGGTTTTTATCAAGATAATACTCCGCTTCAAAAGGTGATCTTTCCCCATAATTTGGTCAGCCTGAGAAATAATTAAAATAAGATGCATGTCAGAGTGCATACGACTAGAATATAAAAACTATATAACATAATGATATGTTAAGCTTTAGGGAAAGACATGGATTAGCAAAAAAGCAGTATAATTAATTATTTTTACAAGTTCACAGGAGGCGAAATAACATCAAAATTCATACCTTAAAGGAAGTCGAAATATGAAGTTAAAATTTTGCAATATGAAAAATAAATCACATATGAACCAAGTTCGTGACTTTTTGGTTTCCAGCAAAATGAGGCATCAATTAACGTAAAAAGCTATACTTCCATGGGTAGAACCATAAGCAGTCCTCGACTATATACTCCCCCCAACACACACACAGCTGAGATGAGTGCAATTTGCCTAGTTGAACACAACATTAAATGTACTGTTATAGTGCGCTTCAAAATTGGGAACTGATATTTGCCATTTCTTACCAACTCCAGAAAGCAGAGAGCAGAAAGGCCTGCCATTTGATTGAAAGAGATATCCACAGAGATGTCATTGACCAAACATTTTAAGATCTTGACCTGTCATAATCCCGCCAAAACACACATCATTCTTTATCACATGGTTGCTTACTGGAATCAGTGATGACAATTCAAGTCTAAAAGAACTGCATGATCAAGAGTGATGAGTTCAGCAAGCAAGTAGAGATGTTGAATCAACAAAACTTAATTGCTTCCAAAATAAATTATCACTTAATGAAATAGGGCTTCAACCCTGCGTATCATGCATCAATAAGGTGATTATGAATGGAAATGCAGCACCACTAGCAACATTCAAAAACAGCAAGAATTTGCATAAATTTGATCAGTCGTAGTCGTGCTCCTCATTAGATTAACATTAAAGCTTTCTTACTCGTATTCAAAAAATTGAAAATTCAACTCACAATTGGTTTTCAGTCACCATTCACTCAAATAGATGTCATCAGTTCTATAAAATGTATTCAAATGGCCAGTATATGCAGTTTACTTATGATTACCAACTTATATGAGAAAGATAAGTCTGAAAGTTTTTCTACACAATCATTTGGGGCAAATACCTATGAAGATGTCCACCTATCTTCTCTAAATACCAACTATAGTGCATGTTCAAAGTTTTCTTTACCTGACTTCCTTGTGGTACAAACTATGGCCATAATCACTTGAAAATTTTCCGGGCAAATATCAAAATAAGCTAATGCTCTAAACATCCAAGTTTTTAAATATGCATGCTTTACACAACTTCACTAACTTTAAACCTGCTCCTAATCACTTGACATTTCCAATATAAATAAAATTTGGTGGACAATTGGTATGTTTTCCCCCTTTTGCTTAGATCTTCTTAGTAAAAGTATTCCTTTGTAATTTTTTAATAGGTGATTAATACCATTAGTCAACTGCATTTCAGAGGCCATATAGTTATTGGAATATCACCCGCCACAAGTAGAGACAAACAATTTGGGTCTTCAAGTGTAAGGGTCAACAAGTTTGCAGGGAAGACTACAGAAACTTGATGAATAAGCAAAGACACCACAAAAGTTTCAACAAGACAAAATATACAAGCTTTTCCTTTTTCAGTCACAAGTGGGAATAAAAAAATACCAGCCAATAGAACAAACAAGTAAATATGATCCCACTATAAGGACGCAATGAGATGTGGTAGTAAGTTTCCTTCATAAGCATGTTTTGTAATAAGATTTGAAAAAATTCATCACATTTACCATTTATCTGCATGAGCTAGACCCTCATATCAAGGTCATTTAGTAAGATATAGAAAAAAAACAAAGGTCTTATTCAACACAAAAGGAATGAAAAATACAAGGTTATAAGAAAACTTAAAGATAGCAAGGGAAGTCTGAAGAAAATTTGTTCCTATACTAACACCAGGACATTTAACTTGACGTTGATAAGCAACCTAAAGATCCAATATAAAGTAAGTGATTAGAGAAATTAACCTGTGCTTCTATATATTGTACACTCTTCACATCAAACATTGGGTCGTGCTCATGACCTTGAAGGATATCAGAAATACCCTTAGCCAATCCTTCCTCTATACTCTGGTGGGTGAGTACAGTCAAATCAATGTCTCCATCTGGAAGATAGGTTTTCAAGGGTACCGATCCAAATGCAAAAACCTGTAAAAGATGGCAAATGTAGAACCATATCTTTCTCAATGAATAATATGCATGTCTTTGCAGCTCTAACATAAAATTGCATAAGAAAATAAGAAATGTGACATAAGTTCCTAGATCGTGATCTATTAATTACAATCAGACATAAAAAAAGTGAATTTGATGATGCATGTAGATACACAAGGAAGTGTTTAACCCCTATTTTCTAGAGAAATAACTTGCAAACCCATAGCAACAAAAAAAAAATAGCACGAGAAAGATACTACTGATTGAGACAATTTTAAATAAAAGGCAATTTTGTAACGACATCACCTGCTGACATTTAGGAAAAGATTCTTAAGTCAACTCTAGTAAACCAATTACAAAAATACTGTAAAAAAAGTCCCCGTCAGGTGACGCTTCTTATGCCTAATCTAGTAAAGCCATAAGGGCATACCACGTGTTGTATTGCGTCTCCATTTCTCCACGTGGAACTTAGAAAAGTAAATGAAGACAGATCCAAACTTTTCAGCAAAATTGTAAAATCACGTACGCCGTTAATGGGGGAAAATTAGACAAATAGTAGGAATTGAAGTCAATCATTAAATAAGGAGTAGCAATAAAAGGTTATAAAGCACAAAGAAGTACAAATATATACATCAACAAAAGGAAGTGGAAATGTAATGAGTTTAGTATGACTATGTGAACAAACAGTTTGAACAAGCCTACCAATCAAACGTTGCAGGCCAACCTCTTATCATTCAAAGACTACAACCATGATGCTTAGTAATCTTCAATTTTGAGAACAAAAGAAGAAGAAACTCTACATGGATGATTCAGTATCACAAGCGATATTCACCAACAAGCAAACTCCTAACTAAGGAACACGACATCCAAAATCAATCTTGACAAACAAAATGGGAGATACAACCCATAAAGTTGACCTAGTGATAATGGGGTGAAATCTTCCACTCCAACCTAAATTCATTATTGCCACAACATGACCTACCAAAGAAATAACTAATGGACAGAGATGATCACGGGATCTGAAAGAAAAGGGACAACAGTTTAGACAAAACTCTCACCTCACAACTATAATGAGCTTTAATTAACCTCGAAATGTATGAAATAACCTCCTCCCTTTTCTTCTCAGAAGCCGAAGCAGGTTGAATGCAAGACAGTATCTCATAGATTCTATGCTCAGCCATTAACCAAAGTTCTGAGTCAATTGACAACGGATTGATTTCAAGCATCGGGGAGTAAAAGGTTGATGAGGTTAAAGATGATAAACTCCTAAGATCTCCCATGATTTAAAAAGCTATTCAATTTTGAAGTTCCTGCAAGAGTAAAGAAGAGAAAAATCCCCTGAAACCTCATCAATTGAAATTTGAGGCTATATGAACACAATAAAATGATATTGAGGGAGGAAAAGAATATCAAGCAAGCTCGACCCTGGAGTGTAAAATACACTACTTAAAGCAACGAGCCTTAACTTGTTGCACTGTAATTTGCATCACCAGACAAAAAAAGTCGTAATGATTTTGCTTTATAGATGGATGAAGGCACTTCCCATGTTTGTGTCAAAATCTAACACTCATTCTTCAATTTTTCATGTGCAAAGAAACACAAGAAGAAGCCTACACCAGGGGGAAAGGATAGGAGATGCAGTATATCTGGTTCCAAATGGGAATCAGAGTGTCAATTGAGCTTTAACTGAGATTTCATATTTCAAGGAGAAAACATGAGAAAAAAGGGAGTCTCCATAGAATAGCCAAACAGAAATGAGGACATAAGTGATAATAACTAGGATGGAAAGGGTGACCCACTTTATATCACCTTCCCCTTTACTCAATTCAAAAAAGGAAGATCCAAAGGGGCATATGTCAAGTGAAGAATGTAATGAAAACAAGCAAGGAAAAGAAGTGAATATATCTTGTTCTTGGCTAGTCTTGCATGTCCACAAGAATATTTTTTTAGACTTAGATGCCCAACTGAGAGAACAGGTTAGAAAGAGTCTGTTCAGTCGTGAGTGAATCTGGAGAATTTATTGGCAGAGCAATATCCTCTTCATTAATAGGCCAGCAATCAATACATGGTTAGAAATGTCAGAAATAAGTCTTTGATAGTAAATTTGTATGGTTACCATATATGTGGTTTATCACTTTTAAGAAATATGCATAATTCTAACTTTCTTAATTTTCTTCTTGCCTTATATTTCACATATTGAATGCTCACCTTCGTAATCATGAGAAAGAAAAATCAAAATTTAAAAACTCCTTTGAAGCTAAATCTAACATTATCAGCACAGATACAACCAACCAATTGAATTTATTACATGAAACTGCACACTGAGGTTTGCTTCACGTGATATCTCAAGGCATTTCCAAGACTCATTTAAGATTTTCCTCAGTTGGGCTTCCCAACTGAACAAAACTGGGTTGTAGTGAACCTTCTTCATGAAGTACAAGTGTTAGTTCTCCAGAAAAAACAGGTGTACGGTAAGAGAAAATATTTTCAGTAGGTGAACAGACTCATCCAATAAAAAGGTGAGGAACATGGCATATGTCAAAGACGTTACAATGCCCTCACTCATTTGAAAAATAACTTTTCTTTTGTGCCAAAAATAAGCTGAGATTCTCTCTCTTCAAGTGTAAGGTTCAAGCTGAGATTTAAATTTTTCATACTTCCCTCCTCTTTTTCTAGGTTTCCAAGGCTTTTACCGTTCTTTACAGGATATTAACAACTTCAATACCGTTTAAGTTATTTAGAAATTAAAAATAACCATTTTACAAAGGGCACGAACTACAAAAAAATTGTACTCTGTAAGGTACGAGACTATCCTTATGTGTTATGCCATGTATGTTGCATTATAATCTCTAATTTATTGGGTCAATCACAGAGAAAAGTACTCTTCTTTTTGTCATATCTATTATGGGATATTGGGATTAGAGGTGTCAATCAGGCGGGTTGGGTTCGGGTTGGGTTCACTCGTGTTAAGGGTAGTCGGGTTTTGGGTTCATTGGGTTACGAGTTTATAGGATTACGTGTCAGTCGGGTTATGGGTTGGTCAGGATACGAGTCATTCGGGTTATGAGTTTATTGGAATTTTTAGACAACCTATTTCTAAATTATTTATGTACTTACAAATGTTTTTTTTTTTTGTAAAAGTACTTATAAAAGTTAAAAAAAAATTCTAAGTGTTAAATTAATTTTGTAGTATGATTGAGTTATTGCAATGATATGACTTAACAGACCAATCTTGACCCTCATTTTTAAACTAAAAAGAAACGCTAGCACACCTTAAATAGGCCTAATCATTACTTTAGTACTGTAATAACCGTCATGTAGTGCAGAAATTGCAACGAATGTGGAAGCATATAACATAAGAGATTGGTTTATTTTGATAAGATGACTCATGATAAGTTCTGAAATCTATTATAGTCAATTAGCCATGCTCTATATGTCTATAATGAGGTTTAATATATATTATGTCTTAGTTACTAAATGCTAAACTGTTAACTTCATAACTATAAAGATCGTGATAATCACATTAGTAAATAATTAAGTATACAATCTATCATGTAAAATAACCTACATTGAGATAGTTCGAGTGACGTTATTATGATAATATAATTCATTATATGTTCCTAAGTCTACTATATCCAATTATGTATTGCACTATAAGACAATAATAAGGTTTACTGTAGACAATGTCTTAGTCACTAAATATTAAATTCCTAAACCATCATATGTAAATATTGTGATAATCAAATTGATAAGTAATTATGTATATGGCTTATAATGTAAAATAACATTCATTTGTGATAATTCGAGTGATATTATATTCAAGAAGAGATAACTCATGATAGGTTCTCAAATTTAATAAAGTCAACTAGTCATATGTAAACCTGTATTGTTAAACCTTTAAACCATCATATGTAAACATTTTGATAATAAAATTGATAAATAATTATGTATATAATTTATACTTAAAATAATATTCATTTGAGATAGTTCGAGTGAAATTATATTCTATATAAGATAAATCATGATAGGTTATCAAATTTAATATAGTCAACTAGTCATTCCATATAAGGATATAATATAGTCAATTAACATTGCTATCCACATAAAAACTCAAGATTCATTTTGAAAGAAAAAAATTTTGAAAGTTGAAACACCAAAAAAGTTGAAATCATAAAAACAAATTGTTCTTTCTTTTCACCCAAAATTGGAAAACACCAAAATTTCACATCTTTCTCTTACCATAGATTAAAAGCATTCAAGTTTCTCTTTTCTTTCCCTTCCAATAAAATGAAAACACCAAATTTCCTCTTTTTCTTTCCCAAAAAGTTGAAACACACAAAAAATTCTCTCTTATTTCTCTTACCATAAATAAAAAACACAAAATATTCTCACTTCACTCTCTTCCCATAAATGAAAAGCACCAGAATTCCCCATTCTTTATATTTCCAAAAATTGAAAAATCCAAAATTTCCATTTCTTTCTCTTACTAAAAATTTGAAAATTCCAAAATTTTCCCCTCTTTTATAATAATCAAATTATTAAAAATATTGATTATTATATTTATATTTAATTGATAAATTAATTAAATAGTTATATAAATCAAAATTTTAATGTATATTACTATATTGATGTTATGGATTGTCTCAAGTTTTAATTATTCATGATCATATTGGTATATGCTTATTTTATATTTCTTATTTATTATTTTATTATTTTCTTAAAGAAATTAATGTTCAAGTAAACTTCATCTTTTAATTTTTGTAATTAAAAAAAATTATTTCTACTGAGTTTCATATTTTGAACTTTTTTTTCAAAAATAAAAAATGGCTTCACTTAGATTTACAACTAAAAACTTTATTTTGAAAAACTATATATTATATAATATAATAATTATTCAGGTCAATCAGGTGGGTTCAGATTAATCGAGTTTGGGCTAGTCGAGTTGCGGGTCAATTAGATTCGTGTCATTTGGATTACAGGTCATTGACTTTTAGTCAATTCGAATTGCGATCGGATTACGAATCGAGTTGATATGGCGAATTATTCTGATCGAATTCTATTTTCACACCTCTAATGGGATCGCATCAAACAAATTTGCAAATGACATAAAGAGGTGCCAACCGGCAAATTACTATTAAAAGATAAAAGGGTTTCGAACTCCTTAAGCTTAATACCATTGCCATCTAGATCAAGGGCGCATCACCTGTTCTCCGGCGTGAAAACTTGCGTTGAAACGAAATTGATTGCACCTTGACTTCTTTGGACAACGATTAACTTAACACAGTTCACACCTCTGCAAACAAAGTTCGAACGAGGGTGATCGATGTTTACACGACTCTCGAGACAGATCTACATTAAATTACTCCTACTCCTATGGAGGTCCAGTGAGAGCTCAAGATCTACGACTACTGATAAAAGTTGCAGAGGAAATATAAAATTGATAAAACTTGACAAGTGGTGTCAGGTGGTGATTTTTGCGACCTCTTCCTCTGTCAACTCATCCTCCTATTTATAGGCCTTGAGATGATAACCGTCGTAGAAACTGTCTTAGAGTAACTTCCAAAAGGAACTGCTCTCCTTCTTTCTCGGACGTGGCTGACGTGTCATTGCACATGGGATATTCGGCAATTTCTCCGTTAACCGCCTGCTCTTCATCCTGGAACAGTTGTCTTGTTACTTGCCTCTCCCGCATGACTTGCCTTCTTACTTCCAACTTGTTAGCTCGGATCTTGGGCATGGTCTCACGATGTGGCCTAGATCTCGCGACCGCGTAGAGCTCTAAGTTTGACGCCAACGTGGTCTAGATCTCATGACCACGTAGAGCTCTAAGTTTGACGCCAACGTGTTCTAGATCTCATGACCACGTCGGGCTCTAGATTTGAAGCCAACGTGCTCTAGATCTCATGACCACGTCGGGCTCTAAATTTGAAAAAGCCAACGTGGTCTAGATCTCATGATCACGTCGGGCTCTAAATTTGATGCCAACGTGGTCTAGATCTCATGACCACGTCGGGCTCTAGATTTGAAGCCAACGTGGTCTACATCTCATGACCACGTCGACCCCTAAATTTGATGCCAACGTGGTCTAGATCTCGTGACCTCGTCGGGCTCTAGATTTGAAGTCAACGTGGTCTAGATCTCATGACCACGTCGGGCTCTTCAACTCGCGACGAGACTAGCTCCTTCTCGGAGACTTGGTAGTTTGGGGCTTTAAATTATTATCATA